AAACCGTAAGTCTTCCGTGTGTAATTCGCCTTGTCGATCATCACTTAAAGAACTGAGAAACACTGTGTGTGTATATATAGAAATCAACCTTTTATTAATTCTTATAGATGATCGATGGCTTGCGATGTCCCTTCGTTCTGATGAATTTATTGTCTGTGAAATAAAGGGTGAGCGGTTCCTGTATAGATTGCAGCGGAAATTTTGCAAATACTAGGTCAATGCATGTTCCTCGGATTGTGGTAGGTTTCATAGGTCATACGATGTACATCTGAGTGCGTATCTAGAAGCCATATGTTGGATAAGCCAAGTATTGTTCGTATCTGCGATATCTACATTAAAATCACCAACGAGTATGAACGACGCATTCTTGTACTTTGTAGTGTACTCTTTCAATGCCATGTCTATATATGCATGCCTTGACATTTCTCACCGTCAGGTTAGGAGCTAGATACATGGTCATGAATACGATCCCATAGTCAAAGACCTTGGTGGCTGCGTGTTCTCTGTTGGGACTTTGACTCGTGACTTTTAGTTTGAGATCTTCAGCTGTTTTCATTTGCCTCATGTAGATGGCGACAACACCTGCAAGATGTTTCGATTCATCGGTGCACACGGTGGGAACGTATCCTTTTACAAACGGTCATTTGGAATTTGGCGTTTCATGTCTCAGTAAGCCATAGCAGGTCGACTTCGGTTAGTATGTGGTCCCGTTCTACATCCTCATCATGTGCACCGAGAGAAAGAACGTTAAGGCGGGCAATGGTAAAGTCGTTGGAATAGTCAATGTCTACTCGCAGTCATTTTAGATACCGCTCCATCAAGGCCTTGGCGATCCAGGGGTTGAAGAGATTGATGGTTTTTTGCTCCAGAGGGCGACGATCTAGAAGGCATGGACGCGTAAATCCGGCACTCATAACGCCCATGTATTCTGCCTTGGACCAAACGTCGAAGATGGCGAGAAACCTTCTAACGAGACGAACGCTCCCCTCTCTAAATCATCGTGCATCTCTTCGTACCGATGCTTTAGTTTCTGATAAAGTGCCTTCTCAGTCTCGCCCTCGGTTGTAGGAAAGAGGACTACAATTCTAGTGTCATTACTGGGCATGAACGGTGCTTCGAAATGGCACTTGGTGCGTCCCCGCTGATAGCAAGTGTGTGTATGATCATGTAGCTGGGCCCTAGGTCTGTTTAAAATGTCTGTGTCAAACGTGATTAACGATTCGACCATTTGCAACGTGCACGGCATGTCGTCAGACACTTCCTCTTGAGGGGCGTCATGAAGCCACAGAATGGTGTGAATGTATGCGCTACCACGCTTTTGGAATTCGACTCTCTTGAAGAAGTCTACCACAACATAGGTCTTGAACAGGGAGCGTCTCTTATAGTTGTTTATGTTGAGAATCACATTGAAGATTCGATGGGTGTAAATTGCACACGCAACTGGGTTGTTGTTGAGCAGTTCGACGCGTTGCATGGCATTCAATTCTTCCACAGCTCGAGCCACCCCTTTGCGACCTACTCGCAAGCTCTGAAACGTTTCGATGAGTCTGTCCCAGTGTCGTTTCGCGGCAGAGAGCGTGAGAAATGCGTGAGGCTACCCGACTGACAAATCATTGCAAAGAGCTCCTTTCTTCGATTTTGCCAGTATTGTACAGTGTTTGGTATGCCTCTCATGAAGCCGAGATCTCGTTTGAGGACTCCATCTATGAAATCTGCATTCTCTAGTCGCTGCTGCATAATCGCACTTGTGATTGCGCATATTCTGGGCGTCATGGTCTTGCTGCCAACATTGTGACGCTTGATCTTCATGACCATGTACAAGGCGTGATCGGGGCACACTCCGCGACGATTGATATGACGTATCTTGCTACTCTCCTTTGTGGAAAGATTCGGTCTGGATACGGTTTGGGTCCGGTGATTCTACGAGGTATGCCGAGGTATATTTGAAGGAACGACAACTCTTCGGCATACTCGTCAAAGAGCAGAAAGATTGGATTCTGTCCATCCCCGGTGGCCACGTGGAGAGTGTGCGTACCTTCGATTAGACCTACTTCATCAGCTGCAGAATGTGCCGCCTTTCCCGCCGAAGATTCCGCCGGGGTTGTTGACGCCATAGCGTCTCTGTCGCTGTTGACGCAGTTAGTGATGATGCAGGCTCCGTCGTCAAAGATCATTGTATGCGCAATTGTGTTGAGTGCAATCGCTGCCTGCATAGGATTATCCAGGTCGGTAACATCGGGCGCCGGCTGGATCTCGTCCTGGTCCACGTCACTGTTGTCTTGCACGTTCGTGATGCGGTTACAATCAATTTTGATTTTGTAGTACTTGTATAACGGAGAATGCTCGAGGTGTTTGAGCCACGCGTGGATGTTACGTTTCTTAATTAGACTTTTCTTATATGATGGTTTGCACACGAGCCGGCGCTTGAGATGAACGTTTATGGCCACGTCGTCCACAATGTTCCGAGATAGGCAATGCACCGTGTTGGGGACGTGTATCGGAACGTTAAACACTTGCCCCTTTATGCCCTACTGTCAACTCCTGTGCGTCAACGTTCTTATGCTCATGAACGGCAAACGTGGAGCGATTAGTCGTTCTTCCAAGGGGTTCAAAGGAGGCAAGTGAGCTGGTTTGGGTGGGTACATCTAGCCGTGAGACACGCTCATAGGAGTCACCTTTTCCACCACTAGCGAATCCTTGCAGCTAGAGCAAATCTTGTAGCTAGAGCAAACTCACCACATGCCGGCGGAAAATTCGCTCAGCAGCACGGCGATAACATTGGCGAGAGTCTGGTTGTTCTTGATAGAAGATATTGTGACTAGACTGTTTGAGAACCATAATCTGTCGCACACACCACAACTATGGCCGAATGAAACGTCTAGAAAGCCTCGTTTAAACCATGCATCGGCACCTTTGGGCTGAGCTCGCCTGATGCATTTCGCAGCCGCTTCACGAGCTCGAGCTCTCACTGAATCAGGGTCTGCCTGCCGACACGCGTGCTTTATCGCCGCTTCTAGTTCTCTGACATTTAGAAGATCATCTTCGCGCCGCAGCTGTGCTGCTTCGGCATCGCGCTCTCGTACAGTGTGGTTCTCGCGCCGTTGCCGTGACGCGGGGGCCCCCCGCTCTCGCACGGCAGGATCTTGGGGGCGGCGTCGCGCAGCTTCATGGCTCGTTTCTGCCTCACGGGCCTGCACATTGGGATTCTGTCTGAGAGTGCACGCTGCCGTAGCCTTTCGTGCTCTACGCTCCACAGCCTTGTTTATCCGACGACTATACGAGCGCTCGCCAACAGCGAACGAATTGTAGTACAACGCTCCCCCTATTGTACGTCGCCAAATGACACGCGCCATATGTAAAATCATTCCTGTGATAACATCTGGAATTTTTCATCATCAGCTACAACTATCGCCATGTAGTTTCAAATTTTCGATTATACGAGAAACTTATACAAGAAATTTTATCATTCGTAAGTGGTAGCTGTCCCTCTGGTGAACACTCCAAGTACCGCCATCTCCCATCTCGCATCTCCTGTGGCACATACCCACTCTAGAGCAGGTATGTGCCACCGGTGACTACGTACACCAACGGAGGGAGGACAGACCCATACCCTAAGGAGCTTTGCCCATAAAATGCCACAGCAGAGCAAACATGAACACACTGAATTAATAGTTAGTAATAGGGAGGTAGTCAGCGTGCCATGAGTAATTTATAGGTCAATATGAAGCAATCAATCTGTTTGGGTCCTTTGTCATGGGTATGACCTGTAGCAAATTTCTTAATGTAACAGTTATTGTACCATAGTTCTACTGACTTGTTTCTATAGTTACACCTAAGACCATTTGACATTTGTTTTTGAAGTGTCGCTTTAATTGTTATTTTACCGTTTAGATTATAAAGGCACTGATTATGCCCAGATAAATAGCTGAAAAGCAGGGACAACACCAGAGAAAAGGAAGGAAGGTTTTCTTCGAAAATAAGCAACAAGCTTTTTGTATGTTGTGCAAAATACTTAAGTAATCTCTTAAAAACGATTGATAAAATGCACAAATTCTAGATATCTCATCAGATGAAATTCGGGTGTGCATGGAGCGACCACTAGCAATATTATTGGGCCTAGAAGTACTATTCATATTTTGTTTTTTCTAACAAAAAGTATTACGCAAAGAAAGTAGGACTACTTATGCATTTCAATTTTCCGTGTTAAAAGGAAGTATCGCTTGCCTATTTAAACAACGTAGTTCAAGTATTGAAACTTTGTTATCTCAAACAGGCATTTTCGACATTTTTTTAATAATATTACAAAAGAAAGAGTGTGGATGATGTGGGCACCACCAGACCATAAGACATTTTGAAGTAATCTTATTATTCTTGTATGTTTTCATATGACAAAAGACGTTCTTGTTTGACAATGTTCAAAACTTTCAGAAAGTGTACCGGTTCATCGACCACTGTAGTCAGCTCCATATTACTGAAAAACATATCAAGAGGTAATGGACTGACCAAAATGAAGTTATGACAGCACTAAGAAGCCCGTGGATCATTTGTAATATGTTCACCCGTATAAAAGTTTCGCTATAATTTCTACTTTATTCAAGTATGATACCGAAAGCACTGATTGTGTGAAAATGATAAGATAGTACACAATGCTATTGAGCTCTACGTGCCGAGCCCCAAGGTGCCACAAATATGCAGAAACTATAGAACCAAACATAAACAACATCTCTTGTTTTTTGTCGCTTGCATTCGAAGGCAGATGCAGAATCCCGTTGACTGACTGTTGTAGTGCTTTCTCGACGTATTTCAAAGTTAAGATTTGTACTTCATCGATGTGTACTTTTTTAGCACTTGTGTTGCAGAATCGTACGACGTGTGATATTTGAGACTGCACCAATCATGCACTGTGTACTCATTTCAGGAATACCGTACGACCACCAAATGTTCCCCATTTACGACGACCCTTCAGACATGACGGCCCCTACGAGCTGATTAGGGAACCCGAGCTCTGTAATTCAGCCAGTTGAGACAACGTAACCTTCCCACCTTGCCAATCAAAATGCCATGCCTGTACGCTTTCATCTCGGTTGAATGTCGAGCATAGGCCTAGGTGTGACACCAGGTAAGAGCAGCAAGCGTTCTCATATTGTTACCGGGAGAACATTCATGTGCAGAAAGTAGTAATAATAAATACTATGGTCTTTAAATATACGCATTTGTACGTTGTTTTAAATAAAAACACCATACCTAGTACTTACGTAATGATGTTGCGCCTCAAATATGCACAATATTTGCTTTTTGATTGAGAATGTTGACAGATATGTACGCAGTCATCGGATCGAGACGGCTGGGCTTTGAGCCAAGACTTTCCCAATGGTTGATTAATTGGATGGACCGACAGATAAACACACCAAATCTTCAGCGTAGAAAGATGCGATGTACAATTGTAAATATGTGAATGTATAACTGAATGCTGATTCATCATGCAAAACTTATGCTCTGTACATAGTGTAAATAATTTTTTCTTAATAGAAACATCCCAAGAAATAATACTGTCTTTAAAGAATTCAGGCACTTCTGTCTGGATTCTTTAAAGAGCTGCGATCGACAACGGTGTACTCGTATGTGTATGTGTACTCGTACAACGGTGTACTCGAATGAGCTCTTTGACCAGCCTCTCTGGGGCTCTAATGAAGTGGAAGAAGCTTCGGATGTTTTATGATACCGTGTGTTTTAGCGTCAGTGTGCTCGAAGGCTTCGGTGTACCACGTGATTAGTACAGTGTGGTCAGGAAACTCGGCTATATTGTACAGACAGATAAAAATACAGGGGAGTACACAGGACACCAACGCATAGGCGTAGCACGCCCATGAATCAAGAACACACAATACGACCAACATTTCCCCTTTTCCGAAAATACTGGTCATAGTGCGCGAGGAGCTGAAGTAAGAAGCGCCGGCGTCACAAACTTGTAATTCCACCATGCTGCCTATTGAAATGGGCTCACCAAAAAGGCCTGCACAGGTGACCTCATTGGCATCCTGTTAAGATGCAATTTGTATAGCAGTGCACTCTGTATTACGTACGGTGAGGAAGCAGATCTTATAGCGTTGCAGAATACGTGGCTGACATTGCCATCGAAGAGAAAGAAGCCAGGTTGAGCAATGGCCGCAGCTGTTGCAAGTGCAGAACGCGCAATCATGTCGCGCAATTTCACCGAGTTTCTCGGAAATTCAATCGCAATAAGGGCGAACGTTGACGCATATTGGTCATTTAAGAGGAATCAAGCGTTGTTCAAATGACCACTTCTCCCAGTGCCACCAGACACTTGGTGCATCTCGCCATATTTCACCAACCTAACTACGGCCTATCGATGGCACAGCTGCGAAGTCTGTACTTTATGAGACTAGCTTTGTTTGGGAGAAGAGTAGACCAAGACAACTCCCATTTCGTGTCTTGCTAAACATCGGCAGAAAGCGTTCATTTATTCGCAAGACCGTTGCAAAACATTGCAGTGTAGAGCTCTCAATGAGCTTTGACGGCTACTGGAAGGTTGCAACCGGAAAGACTGATCGCTTCAACAAGAACCTCACAGTGGTAGAGACGTGCGGGAGATGAGCTCACAGAACGAAGCTAAAGCAACTTGTGCTTTCGTATGTCAGATCGTGCCGCTCGTCAAGAGTCTGACGAATCAGCTATATGACATCTCGGCGCGATTGGTTTTTGAGGCGAAGAAAACACAATACGTCGATATTTTTAGTAGTGTTTTAGTTGACGTGGTTGCTATTGCCAAGAGCATTTGAGAATTTAGGAGCCTGGCATCCCTGTCGGTAGCGGTAACAGACATTTTGTTGTACATTGAATAAACCTGCAGCTGGGCTGGTGCAATAGGACAACGAGGTATCTGCTTGCAGAATTGAGGAACCAATGCCGCAAAACACAATAATTTGTGTCTGTTTAAACGCTGCTCAAGGGATGATAAAAAGCGTGAAAGAGGAGCCTTCAAAGCAACCACTTCAGTCATTCACATGTCTTAAACTGGTGGCCAGCCATTGGAACATTGTGGCGCAATTCTGCAGTTTAATAAAGAACCAAGATATCCAGACTAAAGGTATTGGCAATCTTGAAAGGGAAATAGGAATTCAGAAATGATGAAAACTGTGGCATGAACGAGTAGATTGGAGAGGACGAATGGGTTTATATCAGTGACCAACTGATCAAGCATGAACAGAAAGAACTTGCCAGCAGCTCAACACTCTCATGCAACAATGACTCCTTCGATCTGCTGATCGGTGGAGGTAACAATTCTGATGTTTCGGAAGCGAAGCTCTTTCGGACCTTATGATGTCCACCCGGCTTCAATTCATCTGCGTGCAGTGCATAGTTGAAGCGCAGGTGCAATACATCTGTTCACAAAACCATTTACAGAGTGCACATATTGTTTAGAAATAGACCATCTGTTTGTCCGTTCATGCATCCATTCGTCCTTGCATCCATCCGTCCGTACATCTGATCGTCCCTGTGCCCATCGGTTTATTTGTCTGTCCTTTATATTAGTCGGTAAATTCAACATGGACATTATGAACCTTAGGGCCTAGCTTGGTTTTATCAGAATCAGCATGCTTTGATTTTTTTTTTCTTGTCATGTACCTGTCACTGGACCTATAGCGCGGATATTTGGAGTTTGTTCAGCTTAGTTTGCAGGTTGAGAACGACGTTGTGAACGAGCAAGCAGATGAGTGAGCAGACAAAGGGGGGAAAAGTGCAACTTCTGTCTCCGGCAGTGAAGTGCAGTGCCCTGTGGGTGAGGCTGAAGCGGAAACGTCACAGCACGAAGAAACCACGCTATAAAATCAGCGAGCTTATTTCCAGGGAGGAGCGGAGAGCCAGTGCTTGAGACTCGTCAGCAGTGCGATGACTTTGATCAGCCTATCAAAAGAAAGTGCAACCGTGTAGGCATCTGTCTCCGAATCCTGGTTGTCACAGAGTTCGCACTGACGGAACAAAGACTGCTGGATATTTTCAAGCTCTTCGTGGAAGACAGAACACCAATACGTTGCGGTAAGACGTGTGCAGGTTGACCCGATTGACAAGCACGCCACCGGTGCCACGCCATGATGGAAGCGGCGAAAAAGTAAATGGGCACGGAATTTTCGCTAGATTGGCACGCTATTTCCAGCACCATGTGACAAAGCACATTCATATCTGGGTAACATTAGTGCATTCAGGTGAGACTCAATGGACAGAGTCTGTTTCGTTCGTCTTGAACTATGTTCTTTCCTGAAGCTCTCCACATAGGTTGTACTTGTTAGAAGACACGAAATTACTGTCACACTCGGCCCCTACACCCGGAAGATATTAAAAATAAAGAACTGGGGCAGGGACATAGGCGAAGCGGGATAGTGAAGAAGGAAGACGTGACTCAGAGCTAGTCCTTGCGATGTAAAGACACGTTCCCGATCGCTGACCACGAGTGCTCATTGATTGCAGATCCTACGGCAACACTTATCTCTCTCGCATTGCATTGTCAAGCCCATCATTTCGCCATTCCTGATGACCAACTGCACCGACGCAATCACAACACCGAAGGCCGCCAGTGGCTATATACTACTCATACCGTGCTGCTGAGTAGGAACTTCCGCTTATATTAAGTGGGTTTAGGTTGTTTTTCTTTCACCGAGTATTTGGTAGAATGTTCCTGTAAATTGTCCCATTTCTGCGCTCGTTTTCATTTTTCGAAGATATATAAGTATTTCAGTGAACAACAGTATTCCCTTGTAGCGGCCGGAAATGTCGGCTGCCGGAGGCAGCGAGAAAGGAGACGTGAAGCAGGTTTGGAGTTGCAGGGCAAGACTGTTTATTTCCACTCCGTGCGAGTGACGGGAGCTCCCCTCGACGAGGGAGAGAATGAGGCACCCCCGCGTTCTTCTACAAGAAAGAGGAAAAGGGGGGCCACCGAGCGAGCAGACGTAGCATGCAGCCGGTCTAATCCCCAGAGCCGGCCCCGACAACACGTTGTTCCCCGAACACGGAGGAGGAGGAGCTGGTGCCGCGAGTAGGCGCGCTGTCGACGGCCGGCTGCAGACGGGATAGAAAAGAATGCGGTGGTGCTTAGCAGCTTCCGCTACAAAGGCTCCCCCCCCTAGATTGCGGAGCTTTTAAAGAAGGACAGCAGTTACGGGCTGAATAGTGAAAGGTCACAGTCCAATGGTTAGCACTGAAATCGTACGTGAGAGGCTGCTTGAATGGAAACTTCAATATGAGCAGGCTTGGCGCGGTCAACGGCGACGACTTCTCGTTTCCCCCGCACGTCGATTGCGATGGTTTTGTTAGTACGTCCCAAAACTTTGAATGGGCCATCGTACGGCGGAGTAAGGGGCGGCTTCGTTGCGTCGTGTCGCACGAACACATGGGTAGCAGAGTCCATGTCAGGAAAAGTGAAAACTTTCCTGTTGCGGGCGATGCGAGGTGCTGTTGGCCTGAGTTGCGCGAGCCATGCGCGCAGCTTCTCGATGTGATCGGAGGCTGTTGGGGCGGAAGGTGTCTGGTCGGAGAAGAATTCTCCCGGGAGGCGCACTGTTGAGCCGTAGACCATTTCCGCTGCGCTGAAGCCGAGGTCTTCCTTCACCGTTGAGCGTAGGCCAAGAAGAACGAGCGGGAGCTTCTGCACCCAGTGCTGGCGGTCGAGTTTCGCTGCCAGTGCGGCTTTGAGTTGCCGGTGGAAGCGCTCAACCATTCCGTTGCTGGCGGGGTGGTAGGCGGTTGTATGCTGCAGCTTCGTGCCGAGGAGCGTTGAAAGTGCGGAAAAGAGGTTGCTCTGGAATTGCCGTCCCCGGTCAGTTGTTATGCGGGCGGGGCAGCCAAAGCGGGACACCCATGTTTGAATGAAGGCCTGCGCGACGGTCTCAGCTGATATGTCCGCAATTGGTATAGCTTCGGGCCACCGGCTGTACCTGTCGATGCATGTGAGCAGGTACCTAAATCCTTGGCAGGGCGGTAGTGGTCCCACGAGGTCAAGGTGAACGTGGTCAAACCGCGACTCAGGAGTCCGAAATTCCTGTAGTGCAGCCCGATTGTGGCGAGTCACTTTCACTTGCTGACACGTTTCACATGTCCGAGCCC